TTTTTGAGCCAGGGTCTTGCTATGTAGTCCAGACTGGCCTTGAACTCTCTGTATAGCTCAGGCTGGCCTTAAACTTATGGTGATCCTCCTGCCTCAGCCTCCTAAGTACTGGGATCACAGGTGCGCACCACCATGCCTGGCTGACACACTGGTTTTTAATATTTATTTAGCTAAATCTATCATAGCTTCTCTTATAGCTTCTGCTGAAGTCATTTTCTTCTTCTTCATTCTAAGCAGCTCCAGTGAGGGAGCGTTAATTAAGGTGCAGCCATAAGCCCCAAATACATTAAGAGGTTTTGGTCCTTGCAGAAGTTCTAATAGGAAAATTCCAAGGCAGGGTGGGAAGCCTAACCACCGAGATAATGGGGCAGGGAAAGATTAGGCCCTTTCCCTTCTAGTGTTTCCAGGGAAATTGATTTCCTTTTTTTTTCCTTTTTGATACCAGGGGGCGAACTTGGGATTTTGCGCTTGCAAGGTGGGTGGTGGAAGCACTGAGCTAAATCCCCAGCCCTGATTTCCATTTTTAATAAGATAAAATGGAGTCAAGGTTAACGCCTCAATACCATCCCCTCCAGCCCCTTGTTCATATTTATTCATTCAACAAACACTTACTGAGCCTGTGCTCCCGGTCAGCCCTTGAGACTACAGCAGTAAACAACAGGCAATGGTCTCGTCTTCTTGTCCCCTTTGCTCTTGTCTGAGGAGACCACAATCAATAGAGCCCAAAGGAGAATTAAAGTAGCTATTGTAAGAAATGCAGTGTCTGGGGACAGCATCTGCTAAGAGGTGGCGTGTGAGCTGAAACAGGGGGGATGAGGAGCCGGAGCGGAAAGGGTTAGGAGAAGGGTGTCCCAAGGCCGGGGCACAGCAGGGCTGGCATGTTTGTACAGAGATGGACAGGAGCCAAGAGTGGAGGCCCATGGAGTCAGCCTGTGAGGGGAGAACAGCAGGTCAGCAGAGCTGCTGCCCCTGGCACATTTCAGGACCCCGGTGGCCACCTTTAGCTGAGACCCACTCCTTCCTGACCGTGCTGAAAGTACTTACTCCTATGAGTGACAGGCAAAGAAAAACAGCCTGAGGTGCTGTTAACTCTGTGTGTTGTGTTGGGCGAGTTCGGCTGGAACCTGTAATGCCCTTGCCAGTTTGGCCACATGCAGCTGCCATAGCAGGAGCTGGAGGTAGAGGGGTGAGATGCACTTGGAGCTTGGTGAGAGCCAGAGCGGGCTGCCCAGGCAGAGAAGAGAGGGGCTGTGTGTTGCTGTTAGCTCAGATCGTTCCGGGGTTTTCTGCCCACCTCTTCTGCCTGTATCACAGAGCAGTGTGGTGAGGACACCTAGCCCACTGCTGGTGCCAGGGTTGAGCATGTGTGGTCCTAGAAGCAGGCCCCCTTTTACATGGAGGTGTCCCTTAGATACAGTGGCCTTGGGCACTAGAGGTGACAAATCAGAGGTGGTGGCCCCGCTGCAGTCCTTGCCTTGCCCGCCTCTGGATGGCCCCTGTGACCGCCCCTTTGCCGGGTGACATCCCCTCTTCCTCTTTCTCCTGGCAAGGGGTCTCGACTGGGTGCAGGCGCTGCGCTGGTACAACACTGCCCTGGAGACCACAGACTGCGACGAGGGCGGTGAGTTCGACGGGATGCAGGATGAGCCCCAATATGCGCTGCTGGCCCGCGAGGCCAAGATGCTGCTCACGGGTGGCTGCGGCCTGGAGAAGGACCCACAGAGATCAGGTGGGCTGACCCAAGAGGGCTTCTGGAACTGGTGTGCAGAAGGGCCTTCCTTGAGCTCCGTCCCCAGCACTGTTTTTTTTTTTTAAATTTTGAGCCAAAGTCTTGCTAAGTCACTAAGTTGCCTGGGCTGGGCTTGAACATGCCATCCTCAGGAATCAGGCCAGGGTGCCAGCATCACAGGTGTGTCCACAACCAACTTAGAAAGTATAGCTTATGTGTCATATTAAATATTGTAAGTACCGTGATGCAACGCAGAGATGATTGGAGGTACATAGGTTATTTGCAAGCAGGATGCCATCTTATTTTGGCATCTACAGTGGATCCTGAAACAAATATCCCATGGACCCTGAGGCCACTGTGTATTTGTGTTTGGGGAAAGTTCTTTGCCGTTTTAAAAATTGAGCTGAAGTTTTCTTAACATTTAATACCTTAAAGTGTACAGTTAAGTGCACTGCAGTATTTCCATGGTGTTGCACACCCGTCATGAGTACCTAATTTCCAGAACATTCCCGTCACCCTAAAAAGAAACCCTGTTCCGTTAGGAGTTGCTCCTGCTCACCTCCCGTTCCTTGTAATCGCTGATCTGCTTTCTGTCTGTGGATTGGTCTGTTCTGGACTTACTACGTAAATGGAATCACATAACATGTGGACTTTCGTGTTGTTTGGCTTCTTTCACCTACAATAATGGTTTCTTTTTTGGTACCAGGGATTGAGCTTGGGTCCTTGTGCTTGTGAAGCAGGCAGTGGAACCACTGAGCTAAATGCCTGGCCCAACCTAGAATAATGTCTTTAAGATTCCTCCCCGTTAGAAGTGCTTCATTCCTTTTCATTGCCAAATAATATTCCATTATATGTATTTGCCACATTTTTCTTACATAAATGTATTAATCTGCTTGAACTGCCATATAGCCCAAGTGATTTAAAAAGTAGGCAGCAAACATTTGTTTTTATATTTTGTATCTCTTTTAACACAGCATCTGACTGTGTAGCTCAGGCTGACCTTGTGCCTCAGGCTCTGCCTCCCAAGTGCTGGGATTACAGGCATGTACCACCACCCCAGCTAAAATTTGGTTTTAAGCCCAAGGTCTCATGCATGCTAGGCATAAGTGCTCTGCCACTGAGATACATTCCCAGCTCCCAGAATTTATTTCTCAGCATTCTAGAAGCGAGGGTGTCTAAGGTACTGGCAGTGCTGTTTCTAGCAAGCAGTCACCTTCTCCCTGTGTGCCCACAGGACCTTTCTTCTGTATGCAAGCAGAAAGAGAACAAGCCTCGCTCTCACTTCCTCCTCCGACAAGGGCTCCACTCTTTTCCATGAGGGCCCCAGCCCTGTGATGTCATGTAACTTTTGTCGCAGCTCCGAGCTCCTACCTCCAAACATAGTAACTTTATGGATTCAACATACAAATTTGTGAGCGGGAAGCCCAAGCAGCGGGGGGTATACACATGTCCAGTCTTAAGAGTATTCCACTTTGATACATTCTCAATTCCTTCTGTGAAAGTCCCCATCCTGGTTCTCATTGGCTCAAACAGAATCACTACTCACCCCTGAACCAGTCACTGTGGTCCCGAGATGGCTTACTCTGATTGGCCACGCCTGAGTTGGACCAATGCACATGGAGGGGGGAATGGAAGTGCGCTCTAATTGGCCAGATGACGTGCCATCCCCTTGATTTTCAGATTATTCCTATTACCTAGAAGGAGAGGGCACAGGAGTGGTTTGGGTTGCTATAGAATCGGCTGGGTGCTCTCCTGGGAGAGGTAGGGGAGGCAAGGCTGGCAAAGACCAAAGGAGTTTGCATCTCTCTGCCCTGCTCTGCTCTCTTGCAGGTGACTTGTACACCCAGGCGGCGGAGGCAGCGATGGCAGCCATGAAGGGCCGACTGGCGAGCCAGTACTACGAGAAGGCAGAGGAGGCCTGGGCCGAGATGGAGGAATAACACACCCCGAAAGTCACTGCCTGCTGGCCCAAAGCAAAGGGCTAGAAAGGACGCAAGACTCGTTTTGTTTGGGAGGGGGAAAAGTATTTTTGCGGTGCTGTAAATCGTGTTTTGTATTTCATTTTTTAATGCTTGAAAAAGTCTTTGCTACCAGCAGAGACACTGCAGCTGTCGCATAAGACAGTCTTTGGGGAAGTGGGGGTTGAAAACGCAGCCGAATGAACCAACATATTGTTTTAAGTCTCTGTTTTGATTTTCTCTTTTTTTATCAGCAGATGTAAGCAGGTGCTTCTTGGCCTCAGATGGACAATTTTGGGGCTTTGCTTGCCAGCTTTTCAGGCTGGACTCAGATTTTAGGCCCTGGGAGCCCTGGGTTTCACGCGAAACGTGGAACTGCACATTTGCTTTCCATAGGGTGTGTTTGTCCTAACTTAGTACAAGGCCTTCTCTCCCCAAGCATGTGGAAGTGTGCACAACAGTTTTCAGTGGACATGAGATTATTCAGTACCCAGGCTCTCTTCTGCACTCGGAAGGGGCCTGCACACTGAACATCGTCTCACGTTTTAGTTTAATTTCTTCCCACCATGGGACTGACTTTCTGGCATACAGCCCAATTCCATTTTTTAAGCATGCTTTTTATCACGGGCTTTACAAAAGAGGGCTGATTTTTGTATGCACACATTCTCTACCTCTGACTCCTGTATCAGCTCTGTGGAGGAGGGCGCCCCTCAAAGCTTTTACTCACTGTCCCCCAAGCACACGTGTACGCCGCACCTCTGTGGCTGCCTCCGTGGAACGGAAGTGCCCTTGTCCAGGATCCCTGGCTCTGTCTCACGTGAAGCTGCTCTGTAGAATCTGCTTCCTGGCCCTTGTCCTTGACATTTTCTGCTTGAAATTGTGCTGTTTTTCTTGTAATTTGTGGCAGGCTGCTTTCAGCAGTAGCCCCTTGAGATTTTATCGAAGATGTTTGGGAATGAGAGGGCGAGAACTATAAACATCCATTAATTCCAGTCGTTTCCCCAGGGCCAGGCTATGGCTGTCTTTGCGTAATGATCTTTCTTTTTTTCAGAGGAGTTCAGCTGTATCATTAGTACACGATTTCAGTTATTTCAAGTAGCCAAGAAACCAGACTGTTTTGATCAACCACAAATACTAGAGTGGTGGCTTTCTTTGTTAAAAATCAAACCCAGCTGGGCGTGGTGGCACATGCCTGTAATCCCAGCACTCAGGAGGCTGAGGCAGGAGATCACTGTGAGTTTGAGACAAGCCTGGGCTACATAGTAAGTTCCAGGTCAGTCTCAACTACATAGTGAGACCCTGTCTCAAA